GGATAAGCGATTGATTAGATATTCGTACATCGAATAATCAATCGATTTTTTTTTAACCTCACATTATAGTAACATTTTTAGACATTTTAGCCCAAGACTAATTACTGAGTGGACTATTGAAACTTGATAAGTTAGCCTAATTTTTCCTCTGTGAACTATCCCTGCTGCTAAATTGGACAGAAAGGTCAAGGAAGTCCATTCCCCCAAAAATAAGGGAAATTTTAAGGCGGTAAAAATCTCTACAATTAAATAAACCTTTTAAGTATTTCCTTTTATTTAAAACAATAAACTGACCTGGGATTATAAGAAATAACTACATAGAAACTGTATGTGTATATAAATAATTAATAGCTTAAACAAAACAACATAAACTTCTTTCATTTAATAAATAATAAACAGGATAAATATAACCACGTAGCAAATAAAAAAATCTTTCTTCAAAATAAAACGTTTTTTATTATTTTCAAAAATGAATATATGAAACGCCTTCCAATACCGTTAAATAAAAATTCTCCCTTGATACAAAAAATCTAAACACGTTTGATAATCAATAATACTTAAGCTAATTAATTCTGCCTGACCGGTAAATGACCTCAATTGACAGAAAGGTCACGGATGTTCCGGTGGTTCCTTCCCCCAAAATGAGGAAAATTTTAAGGCCGTAAAAATCTCAACAACTAAATAAACTTTTGAAGCATTTCCTTTCATTTAAAACAATAAATTTATCTGGGATCATAAAAACTACCTATTTATAAAATGTATGTACACATAAATAATTAATAGCTTAAAAAACAATATAACCTTCTTTCATTTAAAAAATAATAAACAAACTAAATATAACCACGTAGCAAATAAAAATAATCTTTCTTCAAAATAAAACGCATTTTATTATTTGCAAAAATTAATATGTGAAACTCCTTCCAATACCGTTGCATAAAAATTTTCCCTTGATAAAAAAGTTAAACTTGTTTGGTAATCAATAATACTTAAGCTAATTAATTCTACTGACCGCTAAATGACTTCAATTGACAGAAAGGTCACGTAAGTTCCTCTGGTTCCACCCCCCAATAAAATAAGGGACATTTTAAGGTGATAAAAATCTCAACAATTAAATAAACCTTTAAAGTATTTTCTTTCATTTAAAACAATAAATTTACCTGAGATCATAAAAACTAACTATTTATCAAATGTATGCGCATATAAATAATTAATAGCTTACACAAAACAATATAACCTTCTTTCATTTAAAAAATAATAAACAAACTAAATATAACCACGTAGCAAACAAAAATAATCCATCTTCAAAATAAAACGCATTTTATTATTTGCAAAAATTAATATGTGAAACTCCTTCCAATACCGTTGCATAAAAATTTTCCATTGATAAAAAAAGTTAAACTCGTTGGGTAATCAATAATACTTAAGCTAATTAATTCTACTGACCGCTAAATGACTTCAATTGACAGAAAGGTCACGTAAGTTCCTCTGGTTCCGTCCCCCAATAAAATAAGGGACATTTTAAGGTGACAAAAATCTCAACAATTAAATAAACCTTTAAAGTATTTCCTTTCATTTAAAAAAATAAATTTACCTGGGATCATCAAAACTGACTATTTATAAAATGTATGCGCATATAAATAATTCATTACACAAATGAATTAAATAAAACAACGTAATTTTTTTACATAAAAAATAATAACGAAATAAATTTAACGACGTCAGCTTAAAAAAAACTTTCTTAACAAAAAGTTTTCTGTTATTTACAAATAGCCACTGTATAAGTCGCTGAGAATGATAACATTTGAAAATGGGAAAAAGAGGGAAAATTCGAACGGTTGTAGGTTGAGATGGAAAGTTGGTGTCCGGAGGATGGAAGTCACGATAGCTCAAGTGGTAGAGCAGCGGCGTATTTAGCCGAAGGTCTTGGGTTGGAATCCCGCACGTGACATTGACCTTACAATTTTTTATCTCAACCAAGACCTTACATAGAAAGAATAATTAATTGAAAAAAGTAACTTGGACCACTAAAACGTAAATGGGTTAATTATTTAAAAAGATGAATATATGCAACGCCTTGCCCAACATAAAAAGTTTCCGGTCAATAGAAGAAACCGAACTCGTTTGATAATCAATAATACTTAAGCTAATTAATTCTGCCTGGCCGCTAAATGACCTCAATTGACAGAAAGGTCACGGAAGATCCAGTGGTTCCTTCTCTCAAAAATAAGACAGATTTTAAGGTGGTCAAAATCTCCACAGTTACATAAACCTTTAAAGTATTTCCTTTTATTTACAACAATGAATTGCACTGGGATATAATAAGCAATAACTATAAATAATTAACTATATAAATGAATTAATAAAACAACAAATTTATTTTTATAAAAAACAATAATGAAACGAAATATAACCACGACAGCTTAAAAAAAGTTCGGTGACGAAAAAGTTTTCTATTATTTAATTAATAAACTTCTTTTCATATAAAAAATAATAACACATATAACAAATAAAAAATAATTTAATTCTGCCTGACCGGCCAGTACCGATCTAATTAAGTCCCACGCACACCTGAGGAACCGAGCTAATCGTCAAAAGAGGAAATGGCGGAGCTTGACTCCAATTAAAAAGTCAATAATTTTGAATAAAGCTACAAACATTTAACTACAAACCAATAGAAATTTACTACTATGGAATTGGCTATTAAAGTTTCATGGGAACAACAAGTGACTACTAATAAATTATACGTAAATAGAGCTCCCTATCAACCCAGATTGATCCACGTCCTGAATTGAGGGTTGTTGGAATTGAGCGCTAGATGGATGTCCCATGACCAAAGATGGTTACGATACTTGGACACAGATGATTTGAATGCCGGCTTTTCAAAGTTCAAATTTATCTGTTCGACAATCGCAGACATAATCTGGTTGAGGAATAATGCCCAACTGTAGAGGATGGAATGATTATGTCCTATAGCGATCAATCTTTGTTGAAAAGATCCTGTCGGTAGACAGAAAAAATAATAACCTGCTATCACTGATTTGGCCATTACTACAAAACCAAGGCTAATAACTGAAACGTAATTGACTAAACTAAGAGCTTTATCTGTGTGATCTATAGAGTTATGACAAGCCTCCTGGGTTGATCTGGGCGTAGGTAGGCGGCACTTCTTTTATTATAGATCTATGCCCTGTTTTGGAAGTCAAGTCTCGTTTGAGGGGAGGGATCTGTGTCAGTGTTACTTTCTTTGTCTGTGATCGCCATAATACAGTGGCATAAAAAAATATACTCGCTAGCTTGTCTATGTAATGTTTATACCTGTTCTACCATTTCATCCCAATATCGCCGTTATTCAACCAGGTGCACGTGTTATTTATATCGCTTTTCAATCCAGTCTATTCAAAAAGAGGGGGAAACAGACTGAAATAGCAGACGCTTATTTTTAGGTGTCTCCTGTTATAGAAAATCGCCGGATCGATCAGCTTCTTGTAAACATGAATATTATGAGCACGTAGACCGGCGTGACTGACGAAGTCTTTTTCGACGAGGGGCCACAACGGTCACGCCCCTTCAAACAACAACTTCCGGAATTTTTCCATTAAAGTCGACGGCCTAGAAAGGAAGCCCTAACATTGACGCTTAGCCGGGCAGAATGATTCACAGAATTTTTTTATATTTGGGTGGGGTAGATATTGTGTAAATTCGATTCAAATTGGATTTTTCTCATGCATATATTGAGGTTAATAACCTAAGCATGAAGCGTTATATGTGTAGTGTATTTATGTTTTTTTTCCTTGTCGTCTCTCTCTTTGTATACCTAATTCAACAATTTTTGACTTTTCATTCACTTTACATTATGAATGAATGAATGAAGAATGGACTTCATTTACAAATAGAAAATACAACATAATAATAAATAAAAATAATAATACAGAATTCATTTCACTTTTCATTATGTCTATAGATAAAAAGGCGAGAAGAAAGTTCGTATACCTCAATTTGAAAGCATCTATATGTAGTTCTTATCAATTTTAATTTTATATAAGTACCTCTTTATTAATGCCTTCTCACTAAACTATTTTTCTTCCCTCCTTTTCTTCTCTCTCACTCTCTCTCTCTCTCTTTTCTCGCTCTCTCCCTCTATTTCGCAGTTCTCTCTCTATTTTTGGCCCCATTGCTCTCTCACTCGCTCGCAGTCTATCTCGTTCTCCTCTCTCACTTTCATTCACTCTCTCTCTCTCTCTCTCTCTCTCTCTCTCTCTCTCTCTCTTTCAGTCAATCAATCTATCTATCTATCTTTTTTAATCCATCCGTGGAATTTGTGACTGACAAATATTTTTTCAACATTGCTACTAAGTAACAATTCACTTATAAGTAGTTACGTTATGGTTTGGAGTAATTATTTGGAAATAAATCTGTATTATTTGCACAGTGCGTTGTGAGAAAAATTATGTTATCTGTACCATTAATCCTAAACAAAACCCTAACCGTGAAACAAGCACTAAGTTCCAGCACCCCTTTAAAAAATTAGCCTAGGAAGAGCCTTACATTTTTGATGGTGTGGACTACACCCCTCCTCACCTGATGAGGCACTAACGTTGACTAAACTGAAATTTTCAGGTTTTTCTCTTCACTTCCTACATAAAACATACATTTTTACCGAATTTCACATTTCTAGCTATTCGGATTATACTTTTCCAATGTCCTAACCGATCTTAGCTTAATTTGTTCTAAATACCACAAGCACATCTTAACAGGAAGCAATGATATGAGGGTGAGAAATACCGGGTGAATTGGTTCGAGTAAAGATACACATGGCCGCTTGCTGGAACTTCGTCAGCGTACTACCATGCACTCAGAATAAAGATGATACGTTAATAACAAAACAAATCCATATATAATGCAATTATTGAAATATATCGTTATTGCGTGTTCACATAAAGTTATGTAATGTTTAGTATAAAAGATAAGGTGATTGAGTATTATTCATCAGTTCAGTTCGGGATGAAAACAGTTACAGTTGCTCTCTGTTTAGTTTTAGTCTTGTTGGCTTCTGCGGAAGATCACAAAAGTTATCATGAAATCAAGCAGCATAGGACGATATACGTGACCAAGGAAGAAAAAGTTCCGTACCCGGTTAAGGTCGAAAAGGAAGAGAAGTACCCGATCCACGTCCACGTCGATCATCCAGTGCCTTACGAAGTAGAAAAGCCTGTTCCTTACACCGTTGAGAAGAAAGTCCCCGTGGAAGTCAAAGTGTACGTCCCAGAACCGTACCCCGTCGAGAAAATCGTCCGTGTTCCGGTCAAAGTCGAAGTACCTCACCCAGTGCCATACAAAGTCGAGAAACCTGTGCCCTATGAAGTTGTCAAGGAAGTCAAAGTCCCCGAATACAAAGAAGTCCCCGTCCCAGTGAATGTCTACTACGACGTCCCCAAACCTTATGACGTGCTGGTCACCTTGGAGAAAAAAGTGCCCTATTACGTCGAGAAGAAAGTACCCGTTGAAGTCAATGTCACGGTCGAGAAGCCATACAAAGTCGAAGTGCCCAAGCCTTATGAAGTGATCGTCGAGAAACCTTATCCAGTCACCGTAGAGAAAAAAGTCCCAGTTTACGTCAAAGTTCCAGAATACTACAGAGTCCACAAGCCTGTCCACGTTGAATCTCACAAAGAAGAAAAACACGGTCAAGAAGAATTTAAGAACAGTGAAAAATCACACAAAACTGACTGAAATGTATTAAATGTTTTTCGTATAAGAAATAAATATTTTTTAAAGAAATAATTTATCCTACATTTTATCGCCACCCATTTATAATAATAACGAGTTTTTGGAATTTACAATTTCTTTGAGTCTTCCGTTGACCGTACTTTTATGTGAGAGTCAGAGCAAACCAACTAACTACAAAGTCTACAAGCCCGACCACGTCGATCTCACAAATAAGAAGAAGAAGGTCAAATAGAATTTAATGAAATGTAAAAAATGTTTCCCAACTTAAAAACATAATTTTATTAAAAATATTTTCTTTAGCTATTCATTTTTTTATAAATGGGTGCCCGTGTGTGTGGGTGTAAAAAACTTTCAAAAGTCTTTTCACAAGAGCGAGCTAATTAACAAAGGTGAATCACCTTCGATATGTTTCTTAGTTACTTCGTTGAGCAATGTTTACCAAACTGCTTACCATTTTATATACATCGTTATGTAAATACTAATTCAATTTATTGTACAATTTCATACGCTGGAAACTGTAACGTTATCAAAAGCTCTGTCTGTATATTTAAAAAGTCGATAGTTCGTTGAGCAAAGCAAATAAACTGATCGAGATGCACGAAATACAATTGACCCAAGGCGCCTTTTTCTTCATCACCGTCACGCCATCACAGCACGATCTCTGTGTTGGTTTAATCTTATACCTTGGGTTTAAGAGAAAATTAATTCTGGAAATTCCTTAAAAATTTCTTTTGTATTTTTATACATTAAAACAAACATTATGTTTAGATTAATTTTATGATTGGAAAATTATGAAAATTGTAAATTTTTGTTTAATCTAAGAATGCGCAAATGTGAATTTTACTAGCACGTCAGATTTGATCTCGATTTGAAATTTGACTTGAATCCCGTTAATCAAAGGCCGTCCAATTTTGTCCTCATTTGCGGCTGGCCTGCCCCGGGTTTGACTTCAAGTACAAAGACCCCGTGAGCAGTCATGATTAAACCGCATTTAAGTTCAGAAGGGCACATCACACACATGATTAAGGGTTAATCCGGCTAAGCCCGTAGGGTGGCGTGTCCTTTGATTGTCTCAGAGGATTATCCCTCAATTTTAATATAGATTCACGCCGGGGTGGTTGCCAATTTGGGCTGAATGATGCAAATATCAATACTTACATGTCAACTTAATTATGACGGAATAAAATGACGGAAAAGTCGTAAAATTATTCTATTTCATTGATTATTGATTTGGTATGTGAAAACGAAACATATACAAAAATATAACAATTTAGACTACATTAAAATCCGATTTGTGATGTGATTTCTCCGTTTTAAACTCTTAGACACATTTCAATAAATTATTTTTTTCTCTTTTTCGCTCTGAACGTTTCAAATATGCAAAACAACATTACAGACGAGCCTCTATCAGGTCATACTTTAATAATCGAAGATGCTGAATTACTCAAGAGTGTAAACCTAAATATGCCAACGATCGCGGTTTATAGGCCACATTCAAACACCGCCGGAAGCCACTGGCCTTAGAAAACTTTGACGCTTGGGATAACCGGCCAGCATCGTAATTTATAAGAGGCTCGAGACGTTGGCACAATATTTGCTCCATAAATCAAAATTTACAATAATAATCAATACAAACGGGGATAAAGTGTATATGTTCCAAACGAATACTATCAATTATAAATAATGAGAACGACGAGACAGTGGCTCAAATAGAGGTTTTTGAAAATAAAAAGTATAAACAGGTGTTTTGCAATTGGCGGTTATTGCAGATGACATCATTACTGATTAGTAGTTTTAAAACGAACTCCACCATAAAATTTTCAACTTGCATACTTTGCTTGCATTAAAATTAATAAAAAATGCGATAAATCATATTCTCGTCTGTCCCTGCTTACAAACCTTAAGCTCTTCCGCTAATGCTTTATATTTTGATGGAACCAATTGCGACTTAACTAAATACAATCACAAATATGTAATTTTTCAAAGAAATTAGAATTCATCTTATACTGAACGTTTTACTTCCTCTTGCTATTAAGTCCCAGCTAATTAACTTAAAAACTATTAAATCAATTCCTATTGAGTATTGTATTTATGATAAAGATACCGATGTAAAAACAAAAAATACGCACTTTTCCGAAATGTTATCTCTTGCTAAAAAAAAAGGAGGGCAAATATCTGGAGCGATAGTGATGGACCCTTGGTATTCCAGCCTGGATAATCTGAAATCTATTCGTTTTCATGACTCTCCCTGCTTAAAAAACTCTGACAAGACTATCATATCAAGTGTCTCTTTGACACTGATAAATACCCTCACAAATTTTATCCAAGTACAATTTTCAAATCCATAAAAATGGGACAAATCAACATCAACTTATCCCTGACGGCATGGCTTCTGTCCCACTAAAAGCTTTATTTTTTTATCAAACCAATTATTAGATAAAAAGCAGAAAATGTGTTGTTTCCGAATTAATTAAGAAATCACAACTTCTGCTCTTTTTGGTATTCATCTTCAAGACAACACCTCGCCTCTCCCTGCTTACACCCAGACGACATGACTTCTGCCCTTGTAAACGCTTTAATTTTTTTATCAAGCCCATTTTTAGATAAAACACACAATGTGTAATTTAAAAACGAAATAAAATTTAGCGTAGAACTCCTAACCCTCTCTTGTTTGTATCCATCATCCAGTCAACATCTCGCCTCTCCATGCTGTTTTCCCTGACGGGGCAAAATTCGATCGTGGTACGGTGTAATTTTACGTTATAGTATGGGTCATTTGACAACAACAAAACAAATGTCGAAAATATTTTCGGGTCGCAAGCTTTCGCAATTTAGGACAAAATAAGAAAAGTATCTAAAAATTGGCAGAAAAAATACAGATATTCAAGTTCTCCGTGGATTACATGTTAACAACACAAATAATTTCTTAAAGTATTATGTTAAAAAAAACACTTACCCATGTTGATGAAAATATCATATTCCGAATGCGAGGGAAAAAAATCAAAATTTTGGTTGGGTGAAGGTTTACAATTCATGAAAGGAGAGAATAGTTTCGTATCTTCATTCTAGGAGAAAAGTAGGATGATCATGAAACAACTCACCTGAAACATAACGAACAGATTTTGAATTGCATGATTTACATTCAACAACAAAATTTAACAAAAATCAATTTACAATTAAGTATATTTTATCATTCAGCCTGGGAATTTCGACTAATCCTGCCAATGTAGATCATCACAGGTGAAGTGAGAGAAATTGAAATAACAGACTCAAATTGTTAAAGATTTTTCCAATCTAAAAAATTCAATTTCCCACTGATTCATTGGGTTTTTCAGTCTTTTTGAATTTAACCCCAGTTAAAATGTGTTTATCGCCTCGAGGCACAGGACCGGATGGGCCACTAATTATCACGGGGGTTTTATCTTCCGCCGGCTCCGTGCTTGGGAAAAGGGAGGCTATAATGCCCGAGATATAACTTGTCAAGTAATGTCTTTCCGGTTAGCTTTCCCTGCCCTAATACCTCGACTTCCACCTATATCTTTATTGATTATCCTCAGCTTTTAAAGCCCGGCTTCCTGGCTGCAAGCAGAGCGACGAGCATGTCCTATCGTCCGATCCGATGTGATCTCCATGATTTAAAACCAAACGAGTGAACCACCGCTGTGAACCATTAATATTCAAGGGTTTATCACCACAGATGAGATCTGCTATTTCCTTAATTTTCGAACCGCTTATCGTTTGCTCAATTCTCTTGAAAAATGGGTTAGCTTATAATATAACACTTTACGTTCCACCATAAGAAACACCAACCAATTTTTGTTCTTTTGTCCATTTGTCCCCACTTTGATACTAGAATCAATATTACATAGTTTTTATAATAAGGTAGCTTACCCAATTAATTTACTGTTTATTTTGACTCACATAAAAATGCGGTCAACGGAAAACTCAAGGAAAATATAAATTCCAAAAACTCCCTTTAGGACAAAATAATCTTATTATTATTATAAATGGGTAGCAATAAAATGCAATAAACTATTTCTTTAAAAATATTTATTTTTTATTCGAAATACAATTAAAACATTTCAGTCAGTTTTGTGTGATTTTTCATTGTATTTAAGTTCTACGTGATCGTCTTTTTCTTCTTTGTGAGATTCAACGTGGACGGGCTTGTAGACTCTGTAGTATTCTGGAACTTTGACGTAGACTGGGACTTTTTTCTCTACGGTGACTGGATAAGGTTTTTCGACGATCACTTCATAAGGCTTGGGCACTTCGACTTTGTATGGCTTCTCGACCGGGACTTTGACTTCAACGGGTACTTTCTTCTCGACGTAATAGGGCACTTTTTTCTCGACGGTGACCGGCACGTCATAAGGTTTGGGGACGTCGTAGTAGACTTTCACTGGTACGGGGACTTCTTTGTACTCGGGAACTTTGACCTCCTTGACTACTTCATAGGGCACTGGTTTCTCGACTTTGTAAGGCACTGGGTGAGGTACTTCGACTTTGACCGGAACACGGACGATTTTCTCGACGGGGTACGGTTCTGGGACGTACACTTTGACTTCCACGGGGACTTTCTTCTCAACGGTGTAAGGAACAGGCTTTTCTACTTCGTAAGGCACTGGATGATCGACGTGGACGTGGACCGGGTACTTCTCTTCCTTTTCGACCTTGACCGGGTACGGAACTTTTTCTTCCTTGGTCACGTATATCGTCCTATGCTGCTTGATTTCATGATAGCTTTTGTGATCTTCCGCAGAAGCCAACAAGACTAAAGCTAAAGAGAAAGCAACTGTAACCGACTTCATCTCGATCTGGACTGATACACCGTACAAAATCCCCTTAGCTTTTATATTACAGATTACATCATTTTTGCTCATTCCACTGTGCAAACATAACATTTATTTCAGGTATTTGTGATATATAAGATTTTTTACAACTGTTGTAATAGTTTTTTATCAAATTTAAGTAACTATTTATTTTGAATTGTTGAATTTTTGTCGAAATACAATAATAAATAAAATAAAGTCGAAAAAGAACGTTTCCTTAAATTTTTATGTGCAATGATTTCATTATAGTTCATATTTTTATATCATATCATCTACATGTATTAGTCTATTATTTTACCTATTTTTTAATTGAAATTAATATAAAAGAAGTTAGAAAGTTAATTATTTCAGTTAATTTTTCACGTCTGAAATTTGAGCAAATTCAAGAGGTGTAACTTAACAAGATTATAAGCAAAAATACTTTATAGGTTTATATCATTTTTCGGATTTTGTGTGTGAGAGAGTCTCAGAATATAATGAGAAGGCGAGATCAATATGGCACAAGTGCGTTTGAGCACCTCCTTTTCCATATCGGGCATTGGCAACTTCTCACATGAATAACCGAAAGGCCGGTGTCGGTGGTTCACTTCCGGCCACTAAGATCAGCCTTTTACTATGTCCCTTCGCCTGTGGAAAAGCTGTTCGACACAAGCCGGTTTTTATTGGGTCATTACGAACAGGCATTACAGGGTTGGAACAACCCCGACCGCCTCTAAACAAACATCCACCCCCCGGCCCAATCATATAACCCGAGAACGGCATGGGGCGAATCCCTTCGAATTATTAATTTCTCCACGTGTTTTCCGAAACGAGACCAAATAACAGATATAACAACGGTTTGGGGTCTTAATTACTACAACTGAACAGCGGAGGATTTTATCCAATACGGATATACAAACCGACCAATTCAATCACCTACCCAATGTGCACATATAACGGAATTCGTAAGACTTTTTCGATAAAGAACCTTTAGTTTTTTCGCTATTATTAAAGTTTTGTTCCATTAGTTCAGAAAAAATCGTAAAAACAGAATGATTGTGATATTTTTTCTTAACACAATATTTTGCAAGTTTAATTTCATGACACTTCTATATATCAAGGTTCTCAATGTATTTTTTTCAAACAATGAAAAAAAAACGATTGCATATTTCACTTAAAACATTGTTAATTCAATAGTATGTGCAGTGGAACAGAGTTGAGAAAATTGAATGCAAATAAGTGTGACGTAACATTGCTCGTTTCCTCAGATGTAGAGATTAAGTGTTGAAATGAATTAGGTAATTTGATAATATAAAGGAACGCTGGTAAGCATGGTGTACCAGTTGAGTCCGAGATGAAGACGGTTACAGTTGCTTTCTCTTTAGCTTTAGTCTTGTTGGCTTCGGCAGAGGATCACAAGAGTTACCATGAAATCAAGCAGCATAGGACGATATACGTGACCAAGGAGGAAAAAGTTCCGTACCCGGTCAAGGTCGAAAAGGAAGAGAAGTACCCGGTCCACGTCCACGTCGATCATCCAGTGCCTTACGAAGTAGAAAAGCCTGTTCCTTACACCGTTGAGAAGAAAGTCCCCGTGGAAGTCAAAGTGTACGTCCCAGANATCACTTCATAAGGCTTGGGCACTTCGACTTTGTATGGCTTCTCGACCGGGACTTTGACTTCAACGGGTACTTTCTTCTCGACGTAATAGGGCACTTTTTTCTCGACGGTGACCGGCACGTCATAAGGTTTGGGGACGTCGTAGTAGACTTTCACTGGTACGGGGACTTCTTTGTACTCGGGAACTTTGACCTCCTTGACTACTTCATAGGGCACTGGTTTCTCGACTTTGTAAGGCACTGGGTGAGGTACTTCGACTTTGACCGGAACACGGACGATTTTCTCGACGGGGTACGGTTCTGGGACGTACACTTTGACTTCCACGGGGACTTTCTTCTCAACGGTGTAAGGAACAGGCTTTTCTACTTCGTAAGGCACTGGATGATCGACGTGGACGTGGACCGGGTACTTCTCTTCCTTTTCGACCTTGACCGGGTACGGAACTTTTTCTTCCTTGGTCACGTATATCGTCCTATGCTGCTTGATTTCATGATAGCTTTTGTGATCTTCCGCAGAAGCCAACAAGACTAAGGCTAAAGAGAGAGCAACTGTAACGGTTTTCATCTCGAACTGAACTGATGAATAAGGCTCAACGACTATATCTTTTATACTAAATATTACATAACTTTTTTGCTAATCCATTGTGTGAAAAGAACGATTTATTAAAAAAACTTATGTCATATGTAGGGTTTTCATTATTAGTGCAATTATCCAAACCAGTCAAACAGAAAAACAACAGTATCTCCCGCTGACAACGGCAAACACAAAAAGGATTTAAAAAATAAAATTAAACACAGTAGTAGCACAGGACAAACGTCTAAGACAAAAGAAATGCAAACAAAAAACCTAAACAAAGACTTTAAACGCTTCAAATTCAAAACAGCCAGAAATTATCGTTAGAGATAGAGATAGATAGAGAGAGAGAGAGAGAGAGAGAGAGAGAAAGAGAGAGAGAGACAGAGAGGAGCTAGAGTGAGTGGGTGAAACAGAAATTAGAAAGAGAGAAGAGAGAGAGAGAGAGAGAGAGAGAGAGAGAGAGAGAGAGAGAGAGAAGAGTGCACAAAGTAGCTTATTCCTGTATAAAAAAATACATACGTAAAACACCTAAATGTTTTTAAAACCCAAAAAATGATTATCAAGAAACAAAAAACCGGGATTAGCATAGCTTGCTTTTGTACCTGGCCATAAATTTGACTTTATCGAAATGTCAATAAAGAACAAACAAAAAATTAATAATTTATATTAAATTAATAAATATTGACACAATAGCCCATTTACTCGCAAATGATGGCCTATCCTTAGTGATTAGAAAGGTAAGTGGTCCACATTTGCATTAAGGTTAATATTAGTTTAAGCACAAAATATATAATTTTAAAAATAGCACTTTTTTAAATTTCAATAGAAACAATTGTAGCAATTTTATTTTTTAAGACAAATAGCATACATACAGTATTAATTAATTTTGTATGATGGAGAGGAAGCAAAACTGCCAAGTATATACAATTTATATTTTTTTTAAACTGGATGTAGTTGTTATCATACAAAACCAACAATATCTTTAATTATTTAAATTTTATCGAACCTAGACACGTAATTCATAGAAATATAGCAGTAGTGTGAGAGAGTGGTAATAGGAGTTGATGATGGGTATTGGTCTCCGAGTCGGTAAACTCATGTTGAACCGACAGTTCCTCACTGAGGATGGCGCAATGTCGACACGCGTTTGAATAACTCAAAAAACACGCGAATGGAGACAGACCCATTATGTAACCGTTTACCGGTTCAACATGATGTAGACGATTAAAGAGCTAAAGTAATAAAACGTGCATTTATTAAATTGTACATAAAACTGCATTTACGACCACAGACGACAAAAAGCATCCGTGAAAACCTAGCCACATATACAAAAATGGAAACATAGCAATAACTCTCTTATATAAAGAAATAATCAAAGCTATGCTAACATCAATTGAATGATTTAAATGGCAATACAAATAAAGAGTCAAAAACAACAAAATATTACAGTGACCAACTTCATAAGCCAAAAACTCATAAATCCAACAAAAATAAAAATAAAAATTCCAACTAACATAAAAGTTTATTTCTCACGCACAACATGAATGACCTAAGTAAACAACCCAAACATTTAAGTGGATGTGGGACAAATGTAATATGAGTCTGACAGATCAAAATTACGTGGATATGCGAACCAAATTGGCCGAAAATTACCGCTTAATCACCTCGTAGAGCTCGAGAATAAATTTATTTACCAAATAAATCAAAATTATGAGTATAATTTTATCCAACAGTGGTAAACAAAGTAAATTTTACCTGGATAATAAATTATAACGTATCAATTAATCACATTATTTATATTTTCACAAATATTGTAAAATGAGTAATTTAAAAAAAACAGCAATTATGCCTACAGTATATTTTAAGAAAGGCTTATAGCATTATTATGTCCATAATATAAGTCAATGAATATATTCAGGGATAAGCTAAGCTGGAGTTTCAAAGTTAATAAATATCGATTTGAGGTGGCGTGAAATGAACTAGGTCGACTCAATTAATGTTTCTTGCACTGGGGAAATTGTAAGCCTAATCGAAAAATAATTATAAAATTAGAAGAAAATTTGTTAGTTATGAGAGAAGAACGCAGTTTTACATAATTCAAATAATTGAGTAATTTAAATTAGGGTAGATAAGAAAAATATGTATATCTGAAAGTGTTTTTAACTTTTCCACTTCTTTTTCTTCTGCTCGGTTTTAAAATGGATTTATTGCATTTTCTGAGCTAATATCTTTTAACAACCTATTATTACGTCATATTGTGTTAATTTTTTCGGCCTGATTCTCTTATGTTGCAGGAAGATGTTCGTATTGCTCTAATATTCTCCAAGTTGAATGCATGGCTGCCTCTCGTTAATTAGATAAAATTGTGTTGAATGGATTTTTCAGTAAAAAATAAAATAAAATCGTTAAAATATTAAACAACAACAAAGGCTAGTCATAGTCATTGAAAAATTGCAAAAAAGGGAAAATTCGAACGGTTGTAGGTTGAGATTGAGAGTTGGTGTTCGAGTGAATCGAAGTCACGATAGCTCAAGTGGTAGAGCAGCGGCGTATTTAACCGAAGGTCATGGGTTCGAATCCCGCTCGTGACATTTTATCTGACTTTTTTATCTCAACCAATACCTTACATAAAGATTAATTAATTGCTAGTCATAGATTTGAACATTCAACTTAGTCGTAATTTAACGAAACAGAACAATTCGTATCGTTTTTATCCTAATATTATATAAAATAATATTTTAGCCATAAATTATTAAAAAGTAATAAAAACTAAGATTTGTAAATATTTTTTTCCCGTGAGAATATTTTTTATTTAAATTAAAATTACCAAAACTAATCAATGTTGGTTATTATAGCAATAATTTATATATTTACCAAGTTAACTTGTAATAAATTAAAATGAATTGTTGCAATGGAATAGGAATACGGTAATTTTAAAATAATAAAACTTTAAATTTATTTAAATTAGCTTATTCAACGCGTATCAAGTGCACTGTAGATACGCGGCTCTAGGGGAACATGACTCGTTGAAGATCCTAAACCGGTTAAGGATAGGCCATGCCAGGCTGACACACTTTTGGCCCAAGCCCGCGTATGGGTCCGCCATGCAGAGCAAGGTTGTTCGATGTTCCCGGCTAATTAAGGAGTGCAATTCCTTGGTTCCATACAGAAAGCGCGAAGGAATGCCACCCGATATGAGAATTGGACTTGAGCAAGGAGGTGAGTATTTAAGCCGCCTATACCGATTGTTCGAGTAAACAGGGTTGTTTTATTGAATATAATAATGATAGTTTTGTGTTCAGAGTGTTAAAAATGAATGTATTCATTAGCGAGAATGGGTAGGGTTAGAGTGCCAATGGCTGAATATTGAATACCCCATCGATCTTCAAATGGCAATATGGGAGTGATCGAGGAATATCAAATATACCACCACCCAAGATGAGTGAATGGTATGTAAATAAGAACAAATGAATGTAAGAACGAGAGAGAGAGAGAGAGAGAGAGAGAGAGAGAGAGAGAGAGGAGAGAGAGAGTGAATTGGTTTGGATTTAGGTACTGATTGAGTTGGGTTCTGAATTGACTTAGCTTTTGACAGCACTCGGAGCCCAACCGCAGTGGCCGGACGGATATGTCCGAGTTTGACGTGGACTACCAACACGCGAGGTTGTTGATTTTCAACCCAAGCCGGTAATTTATGGTAAATTAAAAAAGCTGAAATCGCCCTTGGACTGTGAGCTTTCAGCTTGAATAAATCCAAATCCAAAATCTTTCAACTGACTTATGAAAAGGTAGAATAATGAGAATAATGTATTGTGTTAGAAAGAAATGCAGGATAAATTATAAATACGATAAGTAAAAATAACAATGTATGGTAATTACTGACCGTTAGTCGATGATTATTCAGAAATCGTGAGATGCGGTCTGGCGTGATATAGGTTTCAGAAAAACATTTTCTTTATCGTGCCAACGTTTCGATCTTTATTGAGATTATCTTCAGGGCCTGGGATTTACAAACGTTTACATTGAAGAAAATGTTTTCTGAAATCTACATCACACCAATCCGCATCCTACGTTTTCTGAATAATCAAAAATAACAACATTGTTTAACACGTTAGATGTATCAACCTCTTTTCAGTCACTGGAGGAAAAAATTCAGTTGTTATCTGCTATCCTTTCGACCTCGATTACGTAATCAAGAAGGCAAATAATCTTAAAGATGCCTACAAATAAGCATATATGTTTTTAATAACAATAAAGTGTTTAATAAAAACCAATTAGGGGGCGTCGGTGGCAAATCAACTAATTACAATCTAAATAATAATTCATAAGGGGGACGTCGGTGGCCGCAACGGTTTAGGCGTTGACACGGCGCTCATCACTATAAGGTAAAGGTCCCGGGTTCGAATCCAGCGGCCCTGCATTCGAACTCGACATAGATACAAACGGGCTTGTTTCAAAAACACCGTCACCCCGAGGGATGATATACCTCTACTGTTGCGAACCCTCGTAAAAAAAATAAATAAATAAATAAAAAACAATGTTGTTTTTAATAAAAATAACAAAAGGCTTCAAATTTCTTTTGAACATAGGATCACCCAACTTTGCTTAGGTTTGTAACCATAATAATATTAAAAAAGAAACTCTTCCAGTATTGATTTCTTCTTTTGGTTATTGGTTGAAATAGCCAGTGATGGGAATTTGCATAAACCGCACAACCATCTTTTTTCATTTTTTATTAATTATTCATTTCGAGATCAATAGTAGTTACTCCCCGGTAAAGTTCTAAAAAGCTCGGTACACACTCCAATAAAATTATTATTGCGAAGAAGCAAAAACACATGGTCAATTATTTTAGCAAAAAATGCATATCGTTTCGTTAATAAAAATCGGTCAGGTTTTGAACTTCGAAAAGCTTAATACTTTTCGAATTATAGACCAATTTTGAGCGGAAAACTATCTATTCCAAAGATATTTTGACACGAAAAAAT